GTCTGGGTCTCTGGCCTACGACCTTTGGAGCTGGAAGGCTCCCTCTCTGTTCTGGAAAACATTGGCATCACACACAGAAGAAGCTGTTACCGAGAAAAGCGAACTCAGGATGTAGCAGAAATTATTAACAACCCTCTACCACAGTGGCCCTCACACTGTGTGCACTGGCATCCCGGGGAGGGGTTGTTAAAGCAGATGGAGTTTCTGATGCTGTCAGTTTGAGGTAGGGCAGAGAATTCACATTTCTTAACAGGTTCCCAGGTGATGCCCCAGGAGGCCCGCTGAGCACTGTTGCCTCCCCACATGTCGTGGCTGCTTGGGTCTTGGTATTAAGAGTTTTCAGAAGGAAACACATCCATTGTGTGTGCTTGTGCCAGGGGCAGTCAAATATATTGTCCAGTGTTATTTTACCAATCTTGGGCGTGCAGTATCTTCCCATTACACATGACATAAGGACACTCACAGAGTTAAGTCACTTGCTTAAAGTCACATGGGGCAGATCTGGAATTGGATCACAGGTCCGTGTGACCCTAAAGCCCAGGCTTTCCCAGCCCCTACTGCTCCGTAAACTTTCAGCTGGGCCAGAAGGCCAAAAGTGCTCACGATTAACATACCAACAGGACACAGAAATCCCGCCTCTTGAAGTCCGGCTTGAATTGCATGTCACAAAGATAAACTATGTTTCACATTGGAAGAAAATGAAGATAACATGGCATTTTTCTCTATTGCAAGTCTGTCATTATTTGTAATCATGTTTTCACAATCAGCTTAGTTAATGTGTCAATTTCTAATAATAGGCTCTCCATGGAGGCTGCCAGGAGTCATGTGGAAGCATACTGGGATTGAAAGGCGCCAGTGATAGATGATAAAGAGTTAACCTTCCCCAAACTGCAGCCTAATCATTGAACATGAACATTTTAAGAGTTCGTGATTTTGAGAAAAGTTACCAATGTTGTTATTACACAAAATCTTTTTCTCCCTCCAAAGTACATTATAATGGATAAACCCTGAAAATATTATACTGAGTGCAAGAAGTCAGTACAAAAGGCCACGCTATGGTATATGATTCCACTTAAATGCCGTATCCAGAATACACAGAAAGTAGATTAGAGCTGCTTAGAGCTTGGGGGGCTGGTGGTATAGGGAAGTGACGTTAAAGGGCACGGGGTTTCTTTTTTGAGGTGACGTAATGCTCCAAAATTAGCTCTGGTGCTGGCTGCATATCTGTAAATATGCTATGAACCACTGAGTTGTACTCTAAATGGGTGAACTGTATGGTATGTGGATTATACTCAGTAAAGCTGTTGCAAAGAAAAAGCATTATATTTGCAAAAAACATTTTAAGTGCTATAGATGTTTGTAGTTTTGAAGCTTTTCACCATGCGCAATTATTTTACAGTGAGAGCTATGGAATTTAGGTTGAGCTAGGCAGGGCCAATTGAGGGACAGTGGCTGACTAGCATTGCAACCCTAATGGGGACGTGAAGTGGGTGCTTGGAGGACCTAATCTGGGTTCTGTCACTGGAGGTGCAGGTGTATGGGAATGGACTGTTGAACCTGACAAGGGGTGGAGGCTACAGGGCAAACTGCCAGGTCTCGAAAGACATGCTGGAGTGCATAAATACACGCTGGGGCTACAGGGTCCTGGGGCATCTGGGGCCGAGTCCAGGATGGCTGGATGCCAACGTGGCCTGGCCTTCTCAGAAGAGTGGAGTCCACCTGACTCCCCAGTCAGGGACCACCCAGGGTCACCTACTTGATGCCTAGGGATATAAGCTCACAGCCTGACCAGGATATTTCCTCAATCCCAGCTATGTGAAGACAAAAGAACCAGCGAGAAGCAAGTAATTGTCTCAGTCAACTTCCTGATTTTAATAACCCTTTACTCCTCCCACTAGTGGTGCCATTTCCTATAACTGTTCAACTCAACATTACTTATGTCAAAAACAATGAGAAGGGATAGACAGACCCCAAAACAAAACAGTCCCTGCCCTCAAGGATTTTGTGGTCTAAAGGGGAAGGGCAAGTCATAAGCAGGTTATTCCAATATCTGCTCATCTCCATGCATTCCAGGTGGGTTGCGGGGCCTGCTTCTAGAACCACCAACCTGAGACACACATCTCCCACAACTTAAAAAAGGACACACTAACTTGGCTTACTGAAAATTCAAATATTGATGGACTAATGGTCATATTTCCTAAACAAGGCCTTGTGAACACATGTAGTATGAATATTGCTTCAGTCAACACAGTTCCTTATGCCCTGAAGGCAAGCCATGTAAAGGTGGCATGTTGGGCCAGCAATGAACGAGCACTTATTATGCAAAATTCCATTTCTGATGCCAGGAGATTAAAGTCTTCCACAGCATCTTTATTGTCAAGAAGTGTGACATTTAGACTTCAACTTGAATGCATGGTGATGCACAGATCTGATGGGATGTGAACTGATTTCAGGGTTAAAAACATGCTGTTCAAAAAATCGTATTTAAGCTTATTCTGAAATTTGGTTTAAATCTGTTGTACTAATTTTATTTTGACAATACCCTAGGTCACAAAATATAGTGGGGAGGGAGTCCTAGATTGTGGTCCAGACTCCATAACTCAATATCCCAGTCACCCAGGCAAACCTTACTGTCTTTGAGGCTCATTTGCTGCATTTGTTTAAAAAGAAAAACAAGAGGGTTTGGCCAAAGGAGCTTAAATATCCCTTTTTGGCAAAATTCTATTAGGTTGGGTAAAGGTCATTTGATTTCAACCTACAAGATCTGTGCAAATTGAACCAAACCGGTATTTTATTTTTGAACTTGGAATTTTAGTGATTTAAAAAAAACCCAGCAACTCCCCCCCTCCCAACCCATCTGTAGCTCTAACATTAGGAATTCAAATTGGAATATTTTTAGGCTCTGAAATTTAAGCAAGTCCTTAACCTGAGCTCCTGCCTGCATTTTATAATTTGACTAATTTAAGTCATACAGCAGTTCCATCTTTGACAAGAAAGCAAAAATGATTTTACTAATATCTTTATGAACTTCAAGACTTGCTTCTAATTGGAGACCTTCTAAGTACAGTGGCATACCAGGAAGAAAATGACAGAATTTTTTTTTTCCTTGGACTTTTTTTCTATGAAATAGAACCTCAACTGTCAGAAATGCGAGTTATTTCAGATGCCCTCAATAAGTTCACTTAAAACAGATTGCCGGTGGGTTGCATTAGAACATTAAAAAATCAATTCTAGATGAAAGCAAAAGACACAGAAGCCTCCGATTTGGCACGAAAGAACAGTCATAGTAATCATTTAAGTTATTTAAGAGCAGGATGGAGGAGATGGAGAAATGCTTTTCTAACGTCTCATGCTTGGGGTGGTTTTAGTCATCATTTCTGTGGTGGGCGCTTCTTATAAAAATAACTTCATGAGGAGCAGCCCGAGGAAACTCCAGCCGCGACAGAGCAGTGCAACCTCACTGCCCATTATCTCGTCAGGGTATTGAGGCTGGAGCAGGCAGTAATTAGACCAGAGCCTTGAAAGTCAGGCTGGGGGGAGAAACTGGAAGGAATTATTTTCTTAAAGGAAGTGGTCATTCAAAGGCTGAAAACCCAAGTTACCTACAGTCTCCTTGTCCAGTTTGCCAAGGGAGGGGCCGGGCAGGATCCAAGAACAGGAAGGGAGAACTCGGCTGGGGCGAGGGGGCGGCGGTGGGCGCACATTCCCCGGAGGTGTAAAGTGAAACAAGCGGGTCGGAGCCTCGAGCTGCCTTCGGAAGGGCGCAGGGCAGGCCCAGCATCCCGGCAGGGTGAGTCCAGGTGAGGGGCGAGTGAGGGAGCGCAGCTGGCGGGAGCCGCGATTCGCCCGGGGCGTGGTTCCCGCCAGTGGCTCCTCGGCTGTCAGCCGCCTCCTGCGGGGGTGTCTGCCCGCAAAGTCGCTGCTTAATCCCCGCGCCCGCCGGGCTCCTTAGGGCCTCTTCAAAGCAGAAAGTTGCAAGCCCTGGGGGTCTTTCCCAGGCGCAGGGGCACCGAGGGGTCGACACTCCTCCGGCCCAGCCGGGAGCCCCTCCCCGGACGCCACCAGGTACTCGGTCCCCGCTGACTTGCGCCTCTCCAGTGGGCACCCCATCCCCGCACCCCTAGTCGGCTCGCGGGACCCCCTGGAGACCGGCGGTCTGTCGGGTCACCGGAGAGAGGTCCCGGGCCCCGGCGGCCGCCGCCTCCCGCTCCCCGGCCCGAGGTTCGCGGCCAGCAGCCGGGGCTCAGGGCGGGGCACGGCCGGGAGGCCCGGGCCGCGCTATTCCTGTCGCGGTGAGCTACCGGCCTGTTATGTGCGGCGCCCAATCACGCCTCCGACTCGCCGCGCTGACCCGAGGCCCCCCCACTCCCTAATCCCCCAGGCTTTGATTTGATCCTCCGCGCGGAACAAGCTCACCCCCCTGGCCCTAGCCAGTTGTCCCCGGCCCTCGCGGATGCCCGCAGAACCCGTCCTCCTCGTCCACCCCGGGAGGTCGGAGCGCTCTCCCTGCACGCCGGAGCCGCCCCGAGCCCGGGCCCCATCTGCGCATCCCGGCTGTCGGAGGTCCCCAGTCGGCCCGCCCGCAGCGCGGCCCTTCCAGGTGATGGTGTGTGGCCATTGCGGCCCCTGGCGCGCAGGTGTGGGCTCCCCAAACCGGGCCGGGGACAGGGCTTTGGGCTTCGCGCTGGCAGTCTCAGCCGCCTCTGAAACCGTGCCTTGCACCCCCTGGGAGGCTCCAAACGCTGTGCCCTCCCCTACCAGGGGTTTCTGGACGCTGACCCCCGAGCGGATTTGCCCCGAGAAGGGCGCGGGGCGATCTGCGGAGCTGGGGGAAGGAGCCTCGGGCTTTAAACTGAGCAGGCACAAAAGCAAGCTTGCCAGGGGCGCTGCGGCTCGCGCGGGGGACGGGGGGCGCCGTGCCCCGGGATGCCTCCAGTCGCGCCCGGCTGGCCCCAGCCCCAGTCCCAGCCCCGGCCCGGCCGCTTCCCGCCCCGGGCACCATGAGTTACTTCCTGTCCTACTGCAAAGCTCACGGCGGCGCGCTGCTCACCGGCTACCAGGCCCTGCGCGCCGAGGGCTTCTTGTGCGACGTGACGCTGGAGGCCGAGGGCAGCGAGTTCCCGGCGCACCGGTCGCTGCTGGCCTGCTCCAGTGACTACTTCAGGGCCCTGTTCAAGAGCCACACCCGGGAATCCCGGGAGCGCGTGATCCACCTGCACGTGCCGTCGGCGGCGGGCCTGCAGCGCCTGCTGGACTTCATCTACACCGCCTGGCTGCCGCTCTCCATGGACACCGTGGAGGACACGCTGGAGGCCGCCAGCTACCTGCAGGTCACCGAGGCGCTGGGGCTGTGCGGCCGCTACCTGGAGCGCCAGCTGGCCCCGGAGAACTGCTGCTTCGCGGCCAACATGGCGGCGCGCTTCGGCCTGGCGCACACGCAGGGCGAGGCCGAGCGCCGCATCATCCGCCACCTGCGCGAGCTGCTGGCGCGGGGCGCGGGGCCCTCGGGGCTGCTGGAGCTCAACCCCGCGTCCCTGAAGGCCGTGCTGGGCGCGCCCGACGTGGCGCGGGTGCCCGAGGCGCGGCTGCTGGGCCTGGCGCTGGCCTGGCTGCGGCGGGAGCCCAAGGCCGAGCGCATGGCGCACGGCGCGGCGCTGCTGGAACGCGTGCGCTTCGGCCTGGTGCCCGCCGCCGAGCTGCGGCGCGTGTACTCGGGGTCCGGCCTCGCGCTGCCCGCGCGCATCAAGGGCCTCATCATCCAGGCCCTCAACTACCACACGGCGCCCTCCCGCCAGCCGCTCCTGCAGGGCGAGCAGACCACCGTCCGGAGCCCCCAGACCCGCATCTTGTTGGTCGGGGGGCGCAGGGGGCGGGAGGTGGTGACCCAGCCGGTCGTGGCCCCGCGGCCGGTAGCCCGGGTCCGGGTCATAGTGGTGGAGGCCCAGGAGGAGGAGGAGGAAGAGGAGGAGGAGGAGCAGCAGGAGCAGCAGCAGGAGCCGGAGGAGGAGCAGCTGGAGGAGGAGTGTGAGCTCACCCAGGACGTGGTGGCCTTCGACGTGTACAACCACCGCTGGCGCAGCCTCACGCGGCTGCCCGCCCCGCTGCTGGGGCACTGCGTGTGCACCGCAGGCAACTTTCTGTACGTCCTGGGCGGGGAGCGCCCTCCCGGGGACGCCTCCTCTCCCCAGGCGGGCGGCCCGCGGGTGGTCACGGCCGAAGTGCACCGTTACGACCCCCGCTTCCACGCTTGGACGGCCGTGCCCGCTCTGCGGGAAGCGCGGGCCCACTTCTGGTGCGGCGCCGTGGGCGAGGGGCTCCTGGCCGTCGGGGGCCTGGGCGCGGACGGGGAGGCGCTGGCTTCCGTGGAGATGTACGACCTGCGCCGGGACCGCTGGACGGCGGCGGGGGCGCTGCCGCGGGCGCTGCACGGCCACGCGGGGGCCGTCGGGGACCGGGGCGTGGTCTACGTTTCCGGGGGCAAGGCGGGGAGAGGCGAGAGCGGCTCGAGCAGTCTCCGCGACATGTACGCTCTGGGCCCAGGGGAGCGGGACTGGAGCAAGAGGGCGCCCATGGGCACCTCCCGCTTTGGGCACCACATGGCGGCGCTGCGCGGGGCGGTGTTCGCCTTTCTGGGGCGCTACGAGCCCTTCTCTGAGATCGAGCGCTACGACCCGGGTGCAGACCAGTGGACTCGGCTGCAGCCGCTCCCCTACGACCGTTTCTGCTACGGTCTGGCCGTGGTGGAGGAGACGGTGCTGCTGCTGGGCGGCCTCAAATGGCGGCACTCGCGCCAGGTGCCTACCCGCAACGTGGTGGGCTATGACCTCGACCTGGACCGCTGGGAGGACATCGACTGCGCGCTGCCCTGGGCCTGGAGCGGCCTGCAGTGTGGGGTGCTGCAGCTGGCCGAGGGTGCGGACGAGGAAACCGAGGGGGAGCCCGGAGAGCTGCCAGATTTGGTGTAGGGCTCGTGAAAGCGTTAGTGTGGATTCTGGGTGACGAGAAGTCACAGTGTTGCTCTTGACCCCGCTTACAGAGCGAGAAACACGAGCGCGGGTCCTAAGAGTGGCACTCTGGAAGCAGAGTGGCTTTCTGAAGGCTAGAGGCAAGGCAAACAAGGCCAAGGCCAGAGAGGAACATTTCCCCTTAAGCTGAAGGGGAGGGGAGACAAGTCGGTCACAAGGAACCACGAGTCAGCTTCAGGGAGTTCAAAGACTCACGCTGGACTGGAGATGGGTGCTGGAAAATAAAACAGGACCCTCTTTTTCCTAGTATAGTAAAAGTGTTTCCTTAGGTGCTAAACAGTTAATATTTTTGTGCCAAACAAAGAAGAGGCCAAGGAATGTGCCACAAGAAGTTATATACAAAAACCACACAATTGCTAGTTATAAAGACTATACAGAATAAGTCCTGGAAGCATTATCTGAATAGGGAAGGGAAAATGTCCTTGTTAAATAGCGTAAGACCACTTGAAGAATTAGGCTTTTATGACCCAGAACGATGGTCATAGTTCTGCTCTGATGGTTTAACGTAACTGCGCATCCATTTTGGGGGGAGGGTGTAGAAAATATTCTAGGTTAAGTTTTCCTGACCCTCACATCCATACCCCTTAGCCTGCTTTCGCCCTGACTTTAGGCAACTCATTGGTTTTGTTTTATTTCAGCAACCCTGAGGCATCATAATCAGGCTCCTCTGGTTAAGTGAAACATCTGACAAAAGAGAGCAAAACAAAAACCTATTTCTTTCACCCTCTTTAAAAAATGTCCATTCTGCAGGTTATATTTGTAAAAAAAAAAAAACAAAACTTATTTTTGGCAGTCTCCCACTGTACCAACACATCCCCCCACCACTTCCCCAAAGAGCCAGAGAAAGGAAAGAGGAGTAAGTGAAGTTTTAAAGTTTGTGTCAGATAAACTAGCTTGGTTTTTCAGGGTCTCAGAGAAAATACCTGTCTGCAGGAACGGGGCGGGGGGCTTCTTCTGGCCTGTGCCATCATGGGGTGGCAAAGTTAGAACTCAGAACTGGGGTGGGGGGAGAGGGGGCAAGGAGAGATGGTGGCTGTGTGATTAGGTCCCAAAGAAATGTGATGAGGACTCTGCATGAATAAAGTAGGTGCTTTATAAGGATTCATTAAGAGCTGAATTTATTTGACTTCAGTTTACAGTGCTGCCTCTCTCCTAGATTTGCAACTAATGCAATAAAATGTACAGATATATAGTGTTAAAAGGTCTCTTTCATGCTAGGCTAGCCACGAGTCTTTTAAAATTCATTAGTTTAATTTTTTTACCATTTAAAACAACAGAGCTGACTTTACAAAAGTAAAAGCTGCTTAGTAGCGACAGAGCTAGTCCTTCCATCACGGCTCGCTGTTTACAGGGCACGACCTGGCCGCTGTATCCATGACACATCCATCAGGTACAGATATTTTTAAGTGAATGTACACATTTGGTCTAGTAAACATCAACAAGTCTAAACACCTGTAACAAGCACACTTCATTTTAGGACAAGAGGTTTTTGTTTGTTTTTTTGTTTTTTACATATACAAAATCCCACAAATTTAATGTGCGTCAATATCCATGCAGTAAATAAATGTTTTTACAAATAGGTTTTTTTAAATGATAAAAATATTACACTGGACCCAAAATTCCATACAAACAATACATGATTTCTCATCCATTTTGACTAAATACAGGATTACTGAAAATCTGCTGTAGAAAGGCCACTCTCCTGTACAGTTGTGCAAAGTCTGCAAAACGATAGTGATTCAATGGTGGTTCAAAAGCAAAGAAAAAGATCCCCGCTGTGGAGTTTTGACTTTCTCCTCTACAGCAAAAAATATTCACTGGCATATATCTGAACTCTTAGAGATGAAAGTACATTCACTGAGCTGTACAGGCAACAGTATAAAGCTAATTAGAAGTAGGTTTTACGATATAGAATAGTAAAGGAGAGTCCCTCCTCCTAAAAAAACCAAAAACAAAACCAGCAAATTGTGACATTATGCAGCCAGACACTAAAAGCAGCACGGTCATTGTCATGCTGTGATCACTTTCAAAAACGAGATGCTTATACATGGCAATAAATGAAGAGGACTTTTTCATAGACTTCATCCACTCTATGGAACAATTCATGAAGCTAGGAAAAACCTCTATAAATTGTTTCTCTCGTGTGATTCAACGTAACAGGCCTCTGAATGACCATCATCCTCTTTCTCCTAGGGAGAGAGGTATGTCTTCGTTTTTTCAACATAGTTTTCTGTATTACAACTCACATCAGTCCGTAACCAAACTTGTTTTATTTCCCTGCCTGAAGTATAACTACATATGTTTAATCAATGGACTTGGGTGAAAACTGGAAACTGGAGAGTTGATTCTTTTCAGTTTATGCCTATAGTTTTGTAAGAGCTGGAGTTTAAAAACATGAGTTTGGGCTGAAATTACATATATATAGGTAACTGTTAGCTGCCTTTCTGGGTGAGTTAGGTGTGTTTTAAAAAATCCACTCTGAAATTCCTCTGTACACAATCAGCATTTCATCACTACAAAAATAAAGGAAGATTTAAACCAAGAAAATAAAGCAGCTCTATCTTCAATTTTGGTCTTAGTTACAAAAACATCTTACAAAGCTTTGCCCTGATACACCATTAAGTGTCCCCCTTAAGATTTGGAATAGTGTTTCCATTAACCAGCTTTCACAAGTTAATAGACTATTAAGACGAATGTTAGATACCTGAACTTTTCTTATGTTGATGCTCTTCTATTTTACTTAACTCTTGTATGCGCATCTACATGTCACAAAAATAAAACTACAGCATTAAACTTTGTGCAATGTTTAAGAAAATTCTTAGAACATTTTAATAAATATAAAAAAGGTTTAAATTCTTTCCCACCCATAAGGATGTCTGCACCTGAAAAAATGTGATTTACTTTTGAAGTCTGTTTATATAAAATTAACTTAAAGGGAGAAAAGATGACCTTAGATAGAAAACTGCCTTTTTGTGGTTTTACTACTTGAAGACCACCTGTCTTCAGAATTGTTTGCAAAAGTTAATTTTAAGTCATTAAAGACAGTTGATTTTGCACATGGTAAACATATAAGCTGAGCACTAACTGCATATAAAATATACAAATGCTCATTAAAGACAGTGGTATTAATACCATATATGTTTCATATAGTTTGGTAACATTAAAGGATAGCTTGTCAAGTGTCCCACACATTGATATAAAAACTACCTTATATACTTGTTCAAAGTACCAGAAGGTTACCAGGTGGCCTGAAGGCAGGATACACTTACACATGCGTTTCAATGTATGAATGAGTGTGTGTTAGAGAGGAAGTGATTACATCTACTTCAGAAGAGATACTTAATGGATCATTTGAGGTGGTGTTTTGACAGATATCCAAGAAGAGGTCAAGGTACATCTGCTTCCACTGTTGGAATTCTTTAGATGTCAAGTCTGGATTGTCTAGGACTTTATCAATTATGGCTACTTCCCCTTCTCTGGCCTGAAAAACAAAAGGATTCAACAGTTAAGATGGGGACAAACTTTGATTCCAGATTTAAAATAAAAAAATAGGTAAAAAACACATTAGGAGGCCTCTACGCAGCAGCTCTGGCATATCAAACTCAGCCATTAAAACCAAATCTTAGTGTACCTTTTTCTACACTCAAGGTGGGCAGGCTCACATTGCCCAGGCTCAAGTTTAATTTTTCTCTTTACCTGTCCGGTTTTCTATCTCTGTCTTTGGATATCTTCCTCAATCTTTAGAAATCCAGTTCAAATGCCTCTCATTTCTGAAAGCCTTCCTTCAACAATCAGAAAAAATGTTTTTTCTGTCATCTATGTCCCGGTAACACTTTATCACTGCCAATGAGTGGACCACCACATTCCATCGAGTTACTCTGGTACTAAAGATTTGTTTTGGTTCCACACACAAGTAAAATTATACAATATTTGTCTTTCCTTCTATGACTTATTTCACCTATCATAATGCCCTTAAGGATCATCCATACTATTGCAATTGGATTTTTGCCAACTTTGTTTGCCCCAGAAAGTCAAGCACATGTCACACAACTGGGGACTCATCAATACTAAATGAACTAAACATTGGCAAGAGCTCAGATTCTTTGTTGCTAGAAGAGAAGGTTTTGGGGGAATCTACAGAACATAAAAGATAGGGGCGAGGGGCTGAGAGAGAGAGGGAGAAGACCAGGCCATTAAAACAGGTGAGCCCGACCTGCTTGAAAATCCTGCCTGCTCTGGCAAACAGGCAGTCAGTGGGGGTAGGGTGGGGGTAAGGCTGGGTAAGGTGGGGGGAGCGATTAGGCTATCTTTGGAGGAGTGTTGGTCACAGGAACTATTTTTATGAATATTATAGCTTCTTTTTAAAAAAAAAAATCCAAAGTCCATTAAGTTGTCCCTTGAACTTGTATTAGTAGTTGCATGAAGACCAACAGAAAGCTAACTGACTCTGAACACTCGGCTGCTTGCTACTGGAAAATTTTAAAAACATGCACTTTTTTTAAAAGATTTATTTTATTTATTTATGCATACAAGAGTTGTGGTGTAGGCCAGAGGTGTGGGTGGGCAGGGGGTGTGGTGAGAGGATTCACCAGAGATAGAGTGGGGAGCAGAACAGGCGGAATGACTGAAATACACCGCTGAGGGGAGCAGCGGGTGAGAAGGGCTGGGAATCAAACTGGTGCTGCAGTGGCTGCTGATAGCTTCATAGTGCTGAGACTTAACCCCGTGTGCCACCAGGGAGATCCTAAAATCATGCACTTTCTATTTTGTTTATCTATTTGGTACTCACCTATGTTTCAAGATTACAAAACCTCAGCAGCATACTATGGATCTGAAATATTTCCCAAAGGAGCCCTTTAATATTTGTTTCCAGAAATTAGCACGTCACATCCTCTGTATGACAGTTCTTTTTGGTTTTTGATTTTTCAAGGGTGGAGGGCCTGCTTAGGGAGTTGTGT